ATGATTATTAACACTGTGTGACAGTAAAATGACACTTTAAATCGGACCTATACTAACTTGTTCGTCTTGAAAAACTGAAAAAAGTAGTATGTTTGAAATTTCCCAAACACCCCCAAAATTTAATTTTATTGGCAAAAATCCGTTTTTTGTGTTTTTATGTAGAGAATTATACGTAACTTCCGTAATTTTCAACTGATTTTCAAAATTGTTCTTTTGTTTGAAAGGGGAAAAGCACACCTTTTTAACCCTGTATTGCTCATTTAGTCAAAATAAAAATTGACAAAACCGCGGTTGAAAATATTTGCGATTTATCGATTTTCATTCCATTTTTTCAACTTCAACGAGGTTTTCAGAATAGTATTCGAATCTACAGATTTTTTTCATAATAATTTTTTAAATGCATATTTAATTCTGCGTAACATGAGTATTTTTTGAAAAATTTTTAATACAAATTGAGGGAGATACGTTAATTTTAAGATTAAAAATTTTTTTTTCCAAAGTTACAAATATTTCCATTTTGCTGTGGAATTTACATCAGGGCACTTTAAATTTTGTGTTCACTAAATTTAATTATTTAACTAAAACGGCGTGCATGTCAAAGTTGTTTTTGATAGATTTAAATAAAGACAGAGTTCGTATTTAGGGAGGAGGTCCGGTTAAATTTTAACTTTTCTATAATTTATATTGTTCAAGTGTGTCAAAGTTTTTCAAACATTATTTAGGTTTCAGATCTATTCTATAATCTTCAAATAAAGAATAACAGATATTTATTTGACAATTTATATAAGAATGCCTTAACATTTTGTAAAATATAAATTTGAACTTCTACCACATTTTTTAATTATTTTTATTGTCGAACTTTTCATATGCTTTTTTCGCAATATCTACTGAACAATTTTATTAATTTTGATAATATAGAATAGATCTGAATCCTAAATAATGTTTGAAAAACATTGACACACTTGAACAATATAAATTATAGAAAAGTTACAATTTAACCGGACCCCCCCCTGAATACGAACTCTGTCTTTATTTAAATCTATCAAAAGCAAGTTTGACATGCATGACGTTTTAGTTAATCACTGGGTTACAAAAAATGGTCATGTCGTGTTTATTTAAAATTTACTGTGTTTATTGAAAGTTTAGGTGTCACTGAATAAGAATATACCAGAAAAACTTTTTTTCATTCGGTCATTCCCTTAAAAAACGAGTTTAAAGTCTCAAAAAACCGTATTTTTAGCACTTTTTGAGGCAGCGTAACAAGAAAACGCAACATGATAAAAATCTCTACAAAAGCTTAAATAAAAGCTTAAACCTTCAACTTTAAGGCTCAGAACTGAAAAGTACTTAAATAAGCACTGAAAACCTGCAGTCGCTATTTGAAATTATCAAAAAAAGCTGGGTTAGGTAGCACTTGGTAAAAATCGATTCATCTAACCGGATTCGGTTGCAAATTGTTACTTGAGGTTTCTAATGACGAATTGGAACTTAGATTTAAAAATTTCAAAATGGCAGACTCAATTTTTTAAAATTATCAACGCAAATTTTGAAAAATTAAGTGAACTCATTATTTTCAGTCTGCCATTTTGAAATTTTTAAATCTAAGTTCCAATTCGTCATTAGAAACCTCAAAAAACCTCAAGTAACAAGTTGCAACCGAATCCGGTTACGGAAATCGATTTTTACCAATTGCTTCCTGTTCTAGCTTTTTTTGACAATTTTATGTAGCGACTGCTTGATTAAGGAGGTTTTCATTGATTCTTTAAGTACTTTTCAGTTCTGAGCCTTAAAGTTAAAGGTTTAAGATTTTATTTAAGCTCTTGTAGAGATTTTTATCATGTTGCGTTTTCTTGTTACGCTGCCTCAAAAAGTGCTAAAAATACGGTTTTTTGACACTTTAAACTCGTTTTTTAAGGGAATGACCGAATGAAAAAATGTTTTTCTGGTATATTCTTATTCAGTGACACCTAAACTTTAAATAAATACAGGAAACTTTGAATAAACACGATATGACCATTTTTTTGTAACCCAGTGTAATCAATTAAATTTAGTGAACACAAAATTTAAAGTGCCCTGATGTAAATTCCACAGTAAAATTGAAATATTTGTAACTTTGGAGAAAAAATTTTTAAATCTTAAAATTCACGTATCTTCCTCAATTTGTATTAAAATTTTTTCAAAAAATACTCATTTTACGCAGAATTAAATATACTTTTAAGAAATTATGGTGAAAAAAATCTGTAAATTCAAATACTATTCTAAAAACCTCGTTAAAGTTGAAAAAATGTAATGAAAATCGTTAAATCGCAAATATTTTCAACCGCGGTTTTGTCAATTTTTATTTTGACTAAATGAGCAATACACGGTTGGAAAGGTGTGCTTTTCCCCTTTCAAACAAAATAACAATTTTGAAAATCGGTTGAAAATTACGGAAGTTACGAGTAATTCTTTACATGAATACGCAAAAAACGGTTTTTTGCCCCTAAAATTAAATTTTGGGGGTGTTTGGGAAATATCTCACACATCATTGTTCATAGTTTTACTAGACCTACAACTTATACTAGGTCTCTATAAAAGTGCAGGCAACTTTTTTTATTTTGTCACACAGTGTAATCGCTTTCGACATCTCTGTTTTTAGCTCTATGTTATAATAAACAGCTAACTGCTCTATGAAACAATCAATTGAGTTACATACATCATCATCTTTTAAGTTTTTTAATAATTGTAGTTCGTACATAATCTGCAATAAAATATATACTGCTAGAATTCATGGATCAATTTTAATTAAAATTTTTCAAAATTTTATTATTGAACGACTTTACCAACGAGGATGATTTTAGATGTGGATATTTTGCAGGCACATCCTTGATCCGATCGATTTCTTCACTCTTCAAAACTGCTCGACGAGCAGTAATAGTTTCTTTTATCAATCTACGAATATGGCAGGGCTTCAATTCCACCTTTTCCAATTAAACAAAGACTGACTGTACATTTCCTATTGTACAAAGTAAAATTCGCCAATAATAATTATTACCTATAGACCGATTATACAAAAAGTAACTGATTACAAGGTATTCAACTCTAAAGAAATTAAATATTCAACTGACCGACACTTCATGGATCGATTGTACAAAGACCGACTCTACACCTATATAATTTTTTAATATTTTAAATTTTCATGGACCAACTGTACAAAGACCGACTGTACAACAATATAATCTTTAGAAATTTTTAATCTTTTGAATCTTTATGGACCGACTGTACAAAGACCGACTCTACAACAATATAATTTTTCAAAATTTCGAATCTTCATGGACCGACTGTACAAAGACCGACTCTACAACAATATAATTTTTCGAAATTTCGAATCTTCATGGACCGACTGTACAAAGACCGACTATACAACAATATAATTTTTCAAAATTTCGAATCTTCATGGACCGACTGTACAAAGACCGACTCTACAACAATATAATTTTTCAAAATTTCGAATCTTCATGGACCGACTGTACAAAGACCGACTCTACAACAATATAATTTTTCAAAATTTCGAATCTTCATGGACCGACTGTACAAAGACCGACTATACAACAATATAATTTTTCAAAATTTCGAATCTTAATGGACCGACTGTACAAAGACCGACTCTACAACAATATAATTTTTCAAAATTTCGAATCTTCATGGACCGACTGTACAAAGACCGACTCTACAACAATATAATTTTTCAAAATTTCGAATCTTCATGGACCGACTGTACAAAGACCGACTCTACAACAATATAATTTTTCAAAATTTCGAATCATCATGGACCGACTGTACAAAGACCGACTCTACAACAATATAGTTTTTCAAAATTTCGAATCTTCGTGGACCGACTGTACAAAGACCGACTCTACAACAATATAATTTTTCAAAATTTCGAATCTTCGTGGACCGACTGTACAAAGACCGACTCTACAACAATATAATTTTTCAAAATTTCGAATCTTCATGGACCGACTGTACAAAGACCGACTCTACAACAATATAATTTTTCAAAATTTCGAATCTTCATGGACCGACTGTACAAAGACCGACTCTACAACAATATAATTTTTCAAAATTTCGAATCATCATGGACCGACTGTACAAAGACCGACTCTACAACAATATAGTTTTTCAAAATTTCGAATCTTCGTGGACCGACTGTACAAAGACCGACTCTACAACAATATAATTTTTCAAAATTTCGAATCTTCATGGACCGACTGTACAAAGACCGACTCTACAACAATATAATTTTTCAAAATTTCGAATCTTCATGGACCGACTGTACAAAGACCGACTCTACAACAATATAATTTTTTAAAATTTCGAATCATCATGGACCGACTGTACAAAGACCGACTCTACAACAATATAGTTTTTCAAAATTTCGAATCTTCGTGGACCGACTGTACAAAGACCGACTCTACAACAATATAATTTTTCAAAATTTCGAATCTTCATGGACCGACTGTACAAAGACCGACTCTACAACAATATAATTTTTCAAAATTTCGAATCTTCGTGGACCGACTGTACAAAGACCGACTCTACAACAATATAATTTTTTAAAATTTCGAATCATCATGGACCGACTGTACAAAGACCGACTCTACAACAATATAGTTTTTCAAAATTTCGAATCTTCGTGGACCGACTGTACAAAGACCGACTCTACAACAATATAATTTTTCAAAATTTCGAATCTTCATGGACCGACTGTACAAAGACCGACTCTACAACAATATAATTTTTCAAAATTTCGAATCTTCGTGGACCGACTGTACAAAGACCGACTCTACAACAATATAATTTTTCAAAATTTCGAATCTTCATGGACCGACTGTACAAAGACCGACTATACAACAATATAATTTTTCAAAATTTCGAATCTTCATGGACCGACTGTACAAAGACCGACTCTACAACAATATAATTTTTCAAAATTTCGAATCTTCATGGACCGACTGTACATTAATATAGATTTTAATATTTTGAATCTTCATGAACCAAATGTTCAAAGACCGACAATACAACAATATAATTTTTCAAGATTTCGAATCTTTAAAGACCAATTCAAATCTTTTTGACACAACATTATAAAGACTATTTTAATTTGTATGTATAAACTATTATTGTATGAAATTATATTTGTTACATTGCGAAATATGGAATAATTTTTTATTCGTCAAAAATGACTGAACATTAAAGATAACGTGTTGAATTAAATATTTGTGTTTTAAACTCGTGGCGCTCTTTTTTTGAGGATGGCTTCAAGTCTTTTTGTTTTTTCTCTGTTGGTTTTCGTTTTCTTGTTGTTGTAGGCTCAATATCCTTTTCTAATGTTGCTGATAATTCTATAAATTTATTGTATTTTAACTTTTTATGTTTTTACAATTTACAGCATCAAAAAGTTTTTTAGTTTTATATAAATACTTTAAGGGCTATCCAAATATTACGTCACACTATTTTTGACCATTTTTTACCCTCTCTACCCCTTTTCACACTCTAGTATGTACATTAACGCCATTTTTTCTTATTCGTGTCACAAATTGCTTGATTCCCTATCCCCTCAGAATGTGATATGTGATTTTGTCTTTAAATTGTGTAATACAAAATTTCCAATCTTTTTAATACGTTTTGAAATACATATTGTGATTATATGAAACTCCTCAAAAACTTTTTGATAATGCGTAAAATTTGTTATATTTTTTCAACAAGCGTTTCAATATTGGAAATATTAAATATTTTATATTAAATTATCACAATTTTATCAATATTTAAATAGGTTTAACTTTTTATCGCATACCAGTAATTTCTAGCAAGTCTTTTAATTGATTTTGATGTTCACGTGTAACGACTGTTTTCAAAAACTCTTCTAAATCAATTCTATATTTAATAATCAAAATATATTAATTACATAAATAATAAGGTAAGTTACTATAATATTAATAATGATAATAATAATAATAATAATTATAATAATAATAACGTTAGTTATGTTAGTAATATTGTAATGATAGGATGTAAAAAAAATTCTTTAGTTTCCTTACTTTTTATCAATCAATTCTTTTTGACAATAAAGAATATGAGCGTCGTTGGTAATAGAAGTTTTCGACTCTCTACGTCTAATGGAATAACCTTTCAAAACTCTTAAGTACTGTAAATCTTCGGAAGCAATGTAGGCCGCCATTTTTGCTATTATCATTTATTAATAATGATTTGTTTGATTTGTAAGTTGTGATTTTATTTTAATTATTTTTTTATATTGTATAACATAACTTAAATTTTTTAATTTTGAATGCTTATAGTAATATACGAATAGAAATAATTATATCCCCACTGCTGTTTTGAATTTTCATTGGATATTTTAAAAAAACTTTCGTACAATATGAAGTCTATACGAATACTAAATAATAATGAACAATACATTTAAATCGCTGAAAAATTTTCGATTATTTCTTTTTGTCTATAAATAACTCAGAACTTACTTAAGAAAGCATACATATGCGGATGATTGCCTCCTAATTCGTCAAATGCGTTTTTATGAAATGATTCTACTGCATTGTTTGTTCTTTGGCTACAATCACAAACACATAGCACAGATGCTAGAGGAATCCACTGATTCTTGACATAATCGAGAAAGGTTTTAATATCTTTGAAATTTTGTATATCATCCTTGCATACTTTTTCTATCAATTCTAAACCTTCTGAAAATCGAGTATCAGGTGCTAACGCAAGGTTCATCACCATCCATAGTACAGTTTTTGGAGCCTTTTTACGAATTAAACCTAGTTTTTTCCAATACCTTAACAATGCCTAAATAATAATTTATAATTTTAGAATAATTTCATGTTGTAAAATATTATTACAATTTTCAAAACAATAAAATTATCTCATTGTTTCTGATGGAAAGAGATTTGGTATTGTCAATGAAATCTTTCGTATCGAAAACTGAGTGTTAAATTTTCTTAAAACAATTAAATTAACAAATGGAAAAAATACATTTGTTACTTTTAAAAAAAAGTAATCAATAAAACTTTTTTTTAACCTAAAAAAATATAAAAATGATTTAAATGATTTATGTATGCAGAATAATTATAACCTGGCAGAAATGAAACCAGCATGCTTTAACTGTGATCTCCTTTGAAATGCTGTTGGTTATTGACTTTTGTATAGCGGTCTCGAAATCTGACATGATTTCTATCAAATTCTCTTTCAATTTGTGAGCTAGATTCAAAATCTTTTTCCATACGGCAGTGTATAACAGTAAGGTTTTTCGTGTCATTAAAACCCATAATGAACAAAAATTCTAAAAAATTTAAAAAATATTGATATTGACAGTATAATTATATTTAAATAAACATTTTATTAATTTGTTTAAAAATGTTGGTTTATTTTCATATATACTCACTGTACCCCGATTTTGGATATGAACAGTGTATAATTGATAAATTGACATTTGACGTGGAGAAACCTATAATTCATTATTACAATAATAAATGTAAATTTTAATTTTTTTAATATATAGAATATAATATTTACATTTAAGATATATTAATAAATTAATATATATTAAATAATATTATTTAGATTAATTGTTTTGTTATATATTTTTACCGAAAAAGTTGCATCGATATCAACTTTCTTTGTGTCACACGAATTTAATAACGATATCATTAAATCCGATCCAAATATTGCAGCTGCCGATCCATCGTTTACTTCGACAATGCCACGAAACAAGCTTTTAGTCGGTTCGAAATTATTTTTTAACACATTCTCAAAATCTGTCAAGTATTTTGGAATATTTGGTAATTTATTTTCACTTCTACGAAATATCGAGGATCTCATAGAATTAAAATTTAAGGATGATCCAATTTCCGGTGGTTGTCTATACATTAACGAATTCGAAAATAATGCGCTTTTAGAAAATCTTTCGAAAATTTACTGTACATTTTGATGCACGCTTTTTCTCATATATTATAAAACAAGAAATAATAATATAATATATTATATAATATATTATATACATTATAATATATATATAATATATTATATAATATATTATTATTATTATATTATATTATTATAATATAATATATTATATATTTATAATATCAGAAAAAAATTTACTAAAATTGAAAAACTTACTTAGAAACAATGGAATTGAACAAGTTTTTTGGTTTCAAAGGAGTGTTTTCGCTTTCTTTTAAAATTACATTTTTTAATTTTGATACTTTTTGCGCATTTACATCTGCTTCGTGATTGTGACCTTTTGTAATTTCTACTAATTGGATTCATTATTTTCCTTTGTTGTACCAAGACAACCGTAAGTATCATAATTGACACAGCGAAAGGTAGAAAATTCTGATGTATCGTCATTCTTTTTCGATTTTTTATGATAATAGAAACCACGATAAAAGTATTTTGATGAATTCTTGCGTTCACCTTCTTCCTTTTCCATTTGTCTTTAATAAAAATGATAATGATAATAATAAATTTTACAAAACATTTTGTAATTTGTAATTGAATAATTTTACCTTATTCTTATAGATACAAATTTAAAAAAATTGTATTTCTCTTCTTATTTTGTAATATATTCAAAAAAATACTGGTATTAATTTGATATAAGAATAAATAATGTGAAATGCTGATATTCACACTGTCTATTGTTTTATTATTTTCAATTTGTATATTACTATATTCACATATAAACACAAGTTGTCAAATCATCACGACAATTTGTAATATTATTATATTACAAATATACTGTGCGCTTTATTGGAAAATTGAGAAATGGAAGAGTTAAATGGTGAAAGAAAAGGGACTTCAAAATATTTCGCTGATGGGTTCTTTTATCATAAAATGAAAAGCAAGGAAGAATCAGACAAAAATAAAAAGGAGAAAATCATTTATCGATGTGCAACACGGGCAAGTACTTCCTGTACTGCTACAGCAGAAGAAGATGAAAGTACTAAGGAAGTAAAATTTTTCGGATGTCATATTGATAAACCAGTAGCTCATGGAGCAACTTTGTGTCGATTGAAAGAAAAAATGTTACTCATGGCTGAAAACACGTCTTTACCTTTGCGATCTATTTACGATCAAGTTCTCGAAGAGTGAGCAAAATTAATTATTAATTAAAGTTGAAATATGCAATAACAAATTTTAAATTTCGATTATTTTATTTTACTTATTATGAAATAATTTTATTTATAAAACTTTTTTTAATTTAATTTAATTAAAAATTTTAATTGAATTTAAATATTAATTAGTAATTTTCTTTACGCAGCCAATTAGAAGAAATAAAGAAATTGGTTAATTTTGAATCAATCAAAACTATGATGAGCAGGAAAAGAAATATAAATGCGGGACAAATTCCGGAAACAATGGAAGGCTTTGCAGAGAGTTTAGAAAATAATATTTTTTTAAAAGGTTATTACCAAGAAACTATAACTGTGGGTGAATCGTGTGCAACGATATTTATGTCTAATCTAATGAGTACATTTTTGCGAGAAAACACATTTTCCACTGGATACATTGAAGACTCGATTCGTGTAAGATTTAAATTACTTAAATATTTAAAAAAAACAAAGTAAATTATTAAATAAAATTTTAAAAAAATTAATATAAAATTTGAAATACAAATTATAATTAATTAAATCTTGCAGCTTCCTTCCATGAAACATGATTTTTCGCATCTTTACACTGTGAGTGTGAAAAAAAATGAGAGCAAAATAGATCCGGTGAATAAATTAAAAATTTAATATTTAATTCTTTGCCCTACTGATGCAGTTATTTAATTTTAATTTTATGTAAATTTAATTTCGAAGATTTATACGCCAATATGGATTTTGATGTCTGATAGGAGTTTACAATTATATGATGCGGTTTGGTGTAAAATTAGAGAATTAATACCATCGTTGAAAGTTGAGCAAATCAAATGCGGTTTTAAAGAAAACTCTGTAAATGCTATTCATCAAAATTTGAAAGAATCAATTCTTCAAGGAACTTGGCATCATTATATAATAGTAATAATTAATTGTTTAAAAAGTACTGCATTTTTCAGATTAATGCAAATTTGCAGGAAACTTACAACCCTTTTAATTACAAACTTGGATTAAAAATTTGAATTTGAATATCTTTGTTCAATGTTCAGATCGCATTATATTATTTATATTATTATTTAGTATTTTTTCTTTTTTTAATTTTTACTCATATAATAGGAATTATTGGCTGAGTGGAAATCACTGAAAATTCCAGATAATTGCATAAGTGTTTTTTGGATGGCATTAGGACTACCACTACTCCCATTATCACATTTTGAAGATGGAATTCATATTATTCAAACTGAGGCTGATAAAATAGCACTTCAAGAACCACTGGTGAATTCATATATGACATACTTAAGAACGAATTGGACACAATTGGCAGAATCAGTCAACTCTTTCCATTGCAACCAGAAAATGGATCCATTCGAAGCAACATTTTTTACTTATTTTTTTTTTTTTTTTTATTGTTTATACTCCTGCCCTATTGGCCTTACGCACTTCGACAAGAGTCCCCGAGAAATACTTTTTTGGATTAAGCATAACCATTCTACTTTAGAAATTTTTCTATATATATATTAACCTAATTTTGCGTCTACAGCCGACTTTATTAGGAGTACTCGCATTACGCCTGGACCACCAGTCAATGGGTTTTCTCGCCAGAGAAGAGGGAAACTGTAGAAAACCTCTCTGAGTACAACCGGTTTATCGACAGTCGAGTTCTAATGGTGTGTACCGGACAATAATCGACGGTGCACATCATTATACCTCGACGTCAAACCTCCCGCTCAGATTGTCTCACGTGCCGGAAAAATACCAAGCCAAGTGGGCGCGAACCAAGGGTACTTATACCCTTGGTCCTTAAACGACCACCAACGCCAGGCATCTATCCGACTGAGCCAATCTGTCGGTTATTTTTTACTTATTTACTTTCATCAATAAGTCAAGTGTCAGACCCTGATATTTTAAAATTAATCAGTGAGTTGGTTTCATTATCTATTGAAACTTATAAATTTATTTCTTTGTGTTCTGAAGGTTAATGTTAAGTAACACTTTCAATTTAAAAAAACAGCTACGTAATCGACTTTTCACTTAACAGAATTTTCATTTGCTTAAACTTTATTTAGTTAAATTCTAATCTACCTAACATAATTCACGAATTAACTAATAATATATTTTTAAGTTTGAAAACTTAAAAAAATTTTATTTTTTACGTAAATTGACTTTATTGTTTCTCAGAAATAATTGTAAAATTAATGAAACGCGAAGATAAAAAATTAACTAAAGTGAAAGATGGAAAAAAATTAAAGCAAAGTAAAATGTTAAAATGGACCCTAGATTCGCATATAATCGAATGTCAAGAGAAACTGATAGTAAAACACTTGACATTAAAGAATTTTTTACTGAATGTCATAAATTGTAATCGGCGTCTGGCTTACCAAAATCTATTGTTTCAAATGAGTAAGCAACAATAACCGTCGTAAAGTTATAAATCAAATCAAAATTTTATTTTTATAATTATTTTTAAAATGTTTTAGGAATTGATAATGAAGAGAACAAGTTGTTATCTGATTCTTCATTGTTGAAAAAGAATGAAAATACACCAGGTTTTTACTCATTATATATAAATAATTTATAGAATTATTTTTAATTAGTACTAAATAATAAATATATTTATTGATAAACATATAAAAAATATAGAATCTGTGTCAGAAAATCTACGTGCTCTTTTACCTGGCGAAATCACAGAACCTTCAAATTCATGCTCAGAACAAAGAGATGGAAATTTAACATATCCACTACTAGGTAACGTACTAAATATAATTTTGCTGTGTAGTGTGTACAAACAAGTGTATTCTTACTAATTGTAATAAGTGAAATACTTATTACTTGTTAGGGGAGACTGGGGCGAAAAGTTAAATTGTGAAAACAGTTAAAATTCATTATCTTTCGAACGGAAATAGTTAGAGCATTTCAATTTTAATTATAGAAGAGTGTTATCACCCTAAATAAATGTGCGGAGTTATGTGACATTCTGCTAATTTTTGTGGTGTCCATATTTAAATTCTTTTTCACCCTACTTTTGAAAATTTTTTCCTAAAAGAAAATTTTAACTTTTAAGTATATTTTTTGCATTTATTCTCACCGCGATTTTTTTACTTCATTATTAGGGTCCCCTGAAGAGATACCTAAAGGTATTTGCTAAATATCTTTAGTCAGATTTTTTATATTTGTTGTTAAAGCAAGAAACGCACCCTGGGGCGAAATGATAAATCATTCACGTTCAATAAACTACTTGTTTACGTATAGTTTAACTTATCTACTACTTAACACCTATCAGAAAATAGTTTCAGTAGGCTAGAAATAGAATTTAGTTAAAGTTTATTTTATTTAGATAAAGTTAAAAGAAACAAAATTTTCAAAGAAGGACAAAACATGTATTTTATGCGAAAATATCAGAAACTTTTTTATTGAAAGTTGTAGGGGAAAAGTTGACCTACAATATTGATGTATAAATATTTGCATCTAAGCGGATTATATTGTCTAAAAATCATTTATGCAAAATTTAACTTTTCGCCCCAGTATCCCCTAATCAGTAAATTTAATCTATTAAATAAGTAGAATTTCACTGATTGTCTAAATCACTAACACTGTTATTACAATTTATAGATTTTGATGAGCTCATTGAAATAGGTGAGAAATACTATTAAGTAATTATTAAATTATTACATATAATTTTTTATGTTTATCTAATTAAAAAATACAATTATTTTATTAAAGGGCTTAATCAAGAATTGGAGAATGATTTATCTTCAAATATTGAAGAAGAGCAATTTCCTCCAGGTATTAAATAAAATTGCAATTATACAAATTAGATACAAGTAAAAGAAAAACAATAGAAATAATAAAACATGAAAAGTAACAATGTGAACGAATAACTTTAAAGTTGTACATTTGTACCCTTTTTGTGACGATTTTACACTAAAATAATTTATCTTTATAAAATATAATTCTTATGCACTTGTTATATAGATGCAGATAAAGGAGTCAGTATTGCAGTTGAGGAAGATCCTACCAAAAATGGTTTATTACAAAGTTCGAAATCAAAACCATCACCTACACTACCAACATTAAAAGAAAACAAGTTAGCAAACAAAACAAAAACACCTATTAAAACATCTACTAATGTTCAAAAGGCACCACAACGAATTTTGAGACCAAAAAGAGGACGACCAATTGATAAACCCAAAGCAAAAGACCCAGCAAAAGACAAATCTCAGCCGCCTATAAAAAAAGGACGCAGAGCGATTAATAATTAGTGTTGTGATTAATGATTAGTGTTAATGAGTTGATACAATAAATTAAATATTTTGCATTTAGAAAAAAACTTGTCTACATTATTAATTCTAAATCAAAATTATAAAAATAACACATTTAAACTAATAGTCATCAGTACCATAAACAAATAAAAGAATTAAAATTTCTAAAAATTACATTGTTGAAGAGTCGGTCTTTGTCCAGTCGGTCCATGAAGATTCAAAATATTGAAAAATTATATTGTTGTAGAGTCGATCTTTGTAGAGTCGGTCCATAAAGATTCAAAATTTTTAAAAATTATATTGTTTTATAGTCGGTCTTTGTACAGTCAGTCCACGAAGATTCGGAATTTTGAAAAATTATATTGTTGTATAGTCGGTCTTTGTACAGTCGGTACAGTCGAAATTTTGAAAAATTATATTGTTGTAGAGTCGGTCTTTGTAGAGTCGGTCCATGAAGATTCGAAATTTTGAAAAATTATATTGTTGTATAGTCGGTCTTTGTACAGTCGGTCCATGAAGATTCGAAAATTTTGAAAAATTATATTGTTGTAGAGTCGGTCTTTGTACAGTCGGTCCATGAAGATTCGAAATTTTGATAAATTATATTGTTGTAGAGTCGGTCTTTGTACAGTCGGTCCATGAAGATTCGAAATTTTGAAAAACTATATTGTTGTAGAGTCGGTCTTTGTACAGTCGGTCCATGATGATTCGAAATTTTGAAAAATTATATTGTTGTAGAGTCGGTCTTTGTACAGTCGGTCCACGAAGATTCGAAATTTTGAAAAACTATATTGTTGTAGAGTCGGTCTTTGTACAGTCGGTCCATGATGATTCGAAATTTTGAAAAATTATATTGTTGTAGAGTCGGTCTTTGTACAGTCGGTCCATGAAGATTCGAAATTTTGAAAAACTATATTGTTGTAGAGTCGGTCTTTGTACAGTCGGTCCATGAAGATTCGAAATTTTGATAAATTATATTGTTGTAGAGTCGGTCTTTGTACAGTCGGTCCATGAAAATTCGAAATTTTGAAAAATTATATTGTTGTATAGTCGGTCTTTGTACAGTCGGTCCATGAAGATTCGAAATTTTGAAAAATTATATTGTTGTATAGTCGGTCTTTGTACAGTCGGTCCATGAAGATTCGAAATTTTGAAAAATTATATTGTTGTAGAGTCGGTCTTTGTACAGTCGGTCCATGAAGATTCGAAATTTTGAAAAATTATATTGTTGAAGAGTCGGTCTTTGTCCAGTCGGTCCATGAAGATTCTAAATTTTGATAAATTATATTGTTGTAGAGTCGGTCTTTGTACAGTCGGTCCATGAAGATTCGAAATTTTGAAAAACTATATTGTTGTAGAGTCGGTCTTTGTACAGTCGGTCCATGAAGATTCGAAATTTTGATAAATTATATTGTTGTAGAGTCGGTCTTTGTACAGTCGGTCCATGAAAATTCGAAATTTTGAAAAATTATATTGTTGTATAGTCGGTCTTTGTACAGTCGGTCCATGAAGATTCGAAATTTTGAAAAATTATATTGTTGTATAGTCGGTCTTTGTACAGTCGGTCCATGAAGATTCGAAATTTTGAAAAATTATATTGTTGTAGAGTCGGTCTTTGTACAGTCGGTCCATGAAGATTCGAAATTTTGAAAAATTATATTGTTGTAGAGTCGGTCTTTGTACAGTCGGTCCACGAAGATTCGAAATTTTGAAAAATTATATTGTTGTAGAGTCGGTCTTTGTACAGTCGGTCCATAAAGATTCAAAAGATTGAAAATTTCTAAAGATTATATTGTTGTACAGTCGGTCTTTGTACAGTTGGTCCATGAAAATTTAAAATATTAAAAAATTATATAGGTGTAGAGTCGGTCTTTGTACAATCGGTCCATGAAGTGTCGGTCAGTTGAATATTTAATTTCTTTAGAGTTGAATACCTTGTAATCAGTTACTTTTTGTATAATCGGTCTATAGGTAATAATTATTATTAGCGAATTTTACTTTGTACAATAGGAAATGTACAGTCAGTCTTTGTTTAATTGGAAAAGGTGGAATTGAAGCCCTGCCGCCACATACGAATATGTGGCGTGTCTTCTTGACAATTAGACTTATTCAAAGCCTCTAAAGCAGTTTCTTCATTTATTTTT